GGGAGATGCAAGAGATATGGGAACGTATGTATATGTATAACTGATTTACTTTGTTATAAAGCAGAAACCAACACACCATTGTAAAGCAATTATACTCCAAGAAAGATGTAATATGTATAAATAAATAAATAAGTATATATATATATATATATATATATATATATATATATATATGTAAAGAAATTATGCCTCCTATAACCAAGAAACCAAAGTGGTTATCTAGGGGTCTGGTTTTCAATGTTTTATATAAAAAAAATGAATCCGCAAAACAATGATTAGAGCTAATAAATGAGTTTAGCAAGATTGCAGGATATAAGTTCAATATGCAAATATCTGTTGTATTTCTGTATGCTAGCAATGAACAATCCAAAATTAAATTTAAGAAAATAATTTTAGAATAAAAGCCTCCCAAATTGGAATGGAAGAAGTAAAATTTTCACTATTTGAAGATAGACGTGATACTATATAAAGACAAACCTAAAGACCACCAAAAGTCTTTTAAAACTAATAAATGAATTCAGTAAAATAACAGGACACAAAATCAATATACAGAAATTTGTGGCATTTCTACATACTAATAATGAACTATCAGAAAAACAAATGAAGAAAATAATCCAATTTATAGTTGTATCAAAAATGTAAAATACTTAGGAAAAAATTTAACCAAGATGGTGAAAGACCTGTACACTGAAAACTGTAAGACACTGATGAAAGAAATTGAAGACATAAATAATTGGAGAGATATCCCATTTTTATTGATTGGAAGAAGTAGTATTGCTAAAATGTCTATACTATCCAAAACAATCTACAGATTTGATGCAATCCTTGTCCCAATTCCAATGGCATATTTCCCAGAACTAAAACAAATAATTCTAAAATTTGTGTGGAACCACAAAAAATGCAGAATAACCTAAAACAATCTTGAGGAAGAACAAAGCTGGAGGCATCACAGTCCCTGATTCCAAACTATACTACAAAGCTGTAGTAATCAAAAGAGTATGTTGCTGGCACAAAGACAGACACAGATCAATGGAACAAAATTGAGAGCCCATAAATAAACTCACACTTATATGGACAATTAATTTATGACAAAGGAGCAAAGATGTGAATAAAGATATCTTGGGTTTTGGAGATTTGGAAGTGATGACTCCAGTTTACAAAGTTATGTTGTGGTAAATAGGGAGAGACAGCCAGTGAAAACTACCGTTTTTAGTAGGTTGGTAGTGGCCATAGGAGAGAGGTGGTGTGGCAGATGAAGAAAACGTTTATTTTTTATTATTTTTAATTTTTTTGTGGAACACGGGCCTCTCACTGTTGTGGCCTCTCCCATTGAGGAGCACAGGCTCCGGAAGCGCAGGCTCAGCAGCCATGGCTCACAGGCCCAGCCGCTCCGCAGCATGTGGGATCTTCCCAGACCGGGGCACGAACCCGTGTCCCCTGCATCGTCAGGCAGACTCTCAACCACTGTGCCACCAGGGAAGCCCGAAAACATTTTTTAAAATAACATATATATGTATGTTATTTACATATATATGTATATTAGGCTTACATTATACATATATTATACATACACACACACGTACATACATACATTTTAGGCTTATGTAGAGGATAATGGGTGAAGCAGGGAGTTGGAGTAGTTGAGGTAAAGAGCTGAGGTAGAAGGTTTACTGTGGAGAGAAGAAAGACACATCTTACTCTGAGCCAAGAGAGAATAGGCAGGGAAATGTCAAAGTAGAGAGGGTGGTTGATAGAATTCACATCTGAGGGCAGGGGTCTGGGTCTTCTCAAAGAAGGAGAAGGTGACCTCATCTTCTGGGAGCAGGGCTGGGAACATGAGATAAGGCAGAAAGTATTCTGAATAGCTGTTATAAGGAATGGAACATAGATGAGCAAATTGATTGGCATACAGCATGGGGACAGGCAGTTGATGTCACAGAGCATGAAACTAAAGTGGCATCAATGCATCTCTGCTTTTTCCAGAATTAAGGAACATCACAGAGGGTGAGGGGATGGATGAGGAGCTGAGAGCTATGTAGGACAGAGATGAAACAAGTGACCAGACTCATGGGACCAGGTTGAGGTGCAAAAGAGGCAGGTAGAGGAAGCCAAGAGATAGTAGCTTGGCTTAGAGAACAGGGAAGGGTGTAACTTCTCTGAGCCTCAATTTCCTTATCTGTCAGAGAGCTCAATTGTGAGCACTGCCTAACAGCTCTGTGACCTGTGAACATGGACTAGATAAGGAATAGACAGGCTGATTAGTTGTGAGCAAGATCCTCCCCAGATGGACTAGAAACAAACTCAGAAAGGTGAGAATGTTCAACTTGTCCCTTTATGAAGTACACGTTCTTGAACTTCCTGGCCATGTCTTGCTCTCTCTGCTTGACCAGATTATCGACTCTCAGAGAACTGGGCCAGTGTCCATATAATTCTCTCAGAATGAGACTGCCCTTATTCCCACCTAAACTAATAGACCAAATCCTACAGCACACACATCCTCATTACAATTCAATTTTGGGAAACAAATCCTTGCAGGCGAAACAGGAGTCTCAAACCAACATCAGTCTCCTAACCCAAGTGGAAGGAGACAGTTTGTTCACTTTTGTTAAACAGAGTTGGCCTCAGAGGATAATAATTTTCAGGTGGCTCTGAGGATAATCTCCTAAAGGCAGTTAGTACTCAACATGTTTTTGGAAATAGAAACCTTATTGAAATAAGTATCTTTCCTTCCAAGGAGATTTCTTGAAAGGTAACAAGACTCATTTGGACATATCACTGCTGAGCTGATCACTTAAATCCCAGCCTACAATCTTTATGTAAACAGTTTGTAGTATTCCCAAATAATTCTTTAATAAATAATCTGACCTTGATTAAGCATAGTCAATCTTCATCGAGACTTCAACCAGAACTTGCATTTGGCTTTAGGAAAAAAGAGGGGGGGGATTTAAAGAAACTATGCAGAGATCTGGGCTTTATTTAATAAAGCAAAACCAAACAAAATCAACCAAAAAAATAACAACAAAAAACACACCAAACAAAGCACAACAAAAAGAAACAAACAAAAAGTATCCCGAAGGGTGCCCAGGAGCTGGTATAGGTTCCACCATGAGAGGCAATCAGACATAGTGGAAAGAGCATGAAATCTGAGTACAAATACCGCCTTGAACTTCCAAGCTCTGAGCCCCTGGACAAGTAGGTTTCCCTTCCTGACTTTTAGTTTCCTCTTCTGTAAAATAAGGGTATCTCATGAGATATTTGTGGGATTCAATGAGAAGACATGTGCCGACTTCTTGTGCATTGTATCTGGCAAATAAATGTACCAGTAAATGTCACTTTTCCCTTTACCATTTTCATCTACTTAACCTACAACATGACAGGCATTGTCTCCACCCCTATTGTCCCCAGTGCAGAATTTTTTCTTTGTGATTGAACAACCCAGGACTCCCTTCCCACCCTGCCCCAACTTCTCTTCTCTGGAATAAAGACATATACTGACGTATCTCTGGAACAAGGTAGTCCATTGAAATGCTCACCAGGAAAGAGAATTGCTCACCTTTGACCACAAACTTCACAGTGTCACTGTGCTGCTCAGAGCCTAACCGGCCCTTGGCAGTACAGAAATAGGAGCCTGAGTCTGTCACCACTGCAGGCTTGAAGAGTAAGGTACTCAAGACTCCTACTTTGATGGGTTCTTGGTTGTTAGTCTGTTCCTTGTACCAAACATAACTGATGGGAGGAGAACCCCGAGCCTGGCATTGAAGGCTAATTCTCATTCCCTGGGGTACCATGAAGCCATAGCCACTGCCAGTCGTCACTGTGGGCTTGGAAACAGAAACTGCAAAGGGAAGACAAGAGAGGAGGCTCTGAGAAGTTACAAGGGTATGGGAACACAAGGCTGAGTCATCCCTGCTGAGTCTAGGGGTATGAATATATCTGCAAAGGGAACTAAAAGGGACTCCTGACATGGGGAGGAAAAAGGGAATAGGACGACTTAAATAAAAAGAACTTCTTTTTGGAAGATTAGGTACCATTTTGGATTATCTGGAGATTTGGGTTATCTGGAGTTAAAACAATCAACTGACTAAAAACAACAACAACAACAAACAGGCTTTGTTGTTGTTGTTTTGCTCAAGTAGAGTTTTTGGATTATATGCAGTTTGGGATTACCAGGGGTCAGAACTCTGTAAAATTGTCAAGCCAGTTAAGCTTATCTTGACTAATCCATGCATTCCTTTTCCCAGAGTTTCTCTGCCAGCATCTATCCACTCTCCAATATCCTGATCAGATATACTCATTTTTATGGATTTTAAGACTCAGAGTCCAAGGAAGCAATCAGGCTATCGATGCAGGAATTTCTGGGACACTTGAAGGGGTAGAGATTTGAAGGCCAGAAAGCCTTCCTAACATTTATTAAATTCTGCCACGAGAGTGATATCACTGAGGGTGCTCTGCCTGTCCACTTCCTCTGATTAGCACATATAACTGAAGAGAGACTATGTAAATGTAAACAGAGGTCTCTGGGTTTCTCAGGGTTTTCTAGGATTACAGTCCTCTCTCAGGTTTTTGCTTACCAGTACTTTCCTAACACCCACAGTGACTCACGTTTCTGGACACGGAGTTCAATGATCTTATCTCTCACGACTTGCTTGCCATTAGGGGTCTGCCAAGTGACTTCACATGTGTAGTGGCTCCGGTCATCCATCTCCAGGGTATTCAGTTGGAGGGACACATCTCCTGGAACCTTGTCGTTTACATGCAGGCGGCCCCGGTACTTTGCTTGCTGGATATGGTCTCCAGAAGCGTCACGTAAAAAGATGGTGACTGGGTCTGAGCCACGTTCTACCAGCCACTTTACCAAGACTTGTGTATAGCCTTGCAGAGGACCATAGGTGCAGGGAATATTTACATCCCCTTTCCAAGGCCCTGTCACACTCTCAGGCACTTTCAGGATGGGATGGCCTGAAGAGGGGGAACAGAAGAAGGAAGCAGACACAGATGGCACACCCACCTGGGTGCTAAGATGGCAATGGCAGAGAGGCTTTTGAGAAACACAGCCTTAACTCATAGTTTCAGATTTCCCATGCCCTTTTGTTCTCTGCCAGCCCTCCCATCAATCAGAACCAGTCCTTAGAAGGAAAGCCCTTAAGGTTGTTTAGCTCTTGTGAGTTTCAAGTCCTTTCCCTGTCACTGCCTTGCTGTGAGGTGACCCTGGGTAAGTCACCTTTCACCATGGAGGACCCATTTTCTTTGTATATAATGTAGAGAATCTGAATGGAATGATCTCTAACGATTCTACAAACTCTAACATTCTGTAAATCCATGAAAGATACGTCTTTCAACATTTTGCAAAAGAAGTGTGGAAGCAAACGTTGAGCAGTTGGGTCTGGGCTATTTTACTGTATGTAATTATGTACCTGGAGAAATGTGGTGGCTTCAAGGCTCAGAAAGAAAGGGCTATCTGCCCCACTAATTCCCCATTGCTCCTTCAGAAAGGCTCAGATTGGGTCCTTAGACTAAAGCTCTTTTCTGGAAGGGAGGAAAGAGGCAGACAAAGGACAATTTTGAGGGTGGAAACTTGTGTGAGATGCATTCCTGTTTAACAAAATCTTTAGTTATTGTTAAGTGTTAAACCTGTAATTTGTAAGCTTGACTTTTTTCTTCTGATTTCTATCCTTTCTTTGTTTATTTCCCTATTGGTTTCTCTGAGTTCTCAGCAAAGGTACATTGGAAAATTTCATCCTGAGGAGGAATGGAGATGAAAAGGTCTGGAGGGGAAAAAGTTCTGAGTATAATCCTAGAACTGGCTGTGGTAGGAAAGATGGTAGGACCAAAGGGTGATTAATTCTTGGCTTGCTGGGAAAGGAAACTAAGGGGGGAAATTTGTGGGTGTTGAGAGAGCCACCACCTTCCATCAGCAGTTTCCATCCATAAGCTAATATCTTGAGGATTTTGTGTTTTATTTAACTGGGGTCAGGAGTGAGAGATTGTATTTAGATATGTCTTTATATCTCTCTCAGGAGAGGTTGTTTCAAAGTGTAAGCTATTGCTGAATAAAAACTTTTTATATAGCCTAGTATTTCCAGGCTTCAGTCAAGCAGATGGAAGTTGGGGTGGGGGCTAGCTCCCATAATGTATTGCCAAGTACCAGGGCTTCTATCAATGAGGTTACTAAAGTTTAGCCTTTGGCCTGTGCCCTCACCTGGGACTCTAGTACATAACCAGCATATTTTGGCCAAGATAAAAGCCTTGAATAAACAATAATAAATAAACATGGGTCCATGTTGCTAGGTCCACCACATTCTCTCTGGAGAGTTTCAAACTGGGCAGAGAGAAAAACTCAGATCCACAAATGGGAGCACAATACAGGCAGATTTTGGTTTTCCCTAAAAATGAATTTTGTAATTAATCAGAGCTGTCCATGATGGACTAAGCTGTCTAGGGCAAGTTCTGAGCTTTGTTTAGGTCTTGAACAGAATTATTCTTTAAGGTCTCTTCCAATCTTAGATGGTTCAGTGCTAATAGACTTAATGAAAGCATAAATTAAATAATTACATGTTCTAGCTGGTGGTGAGCTTTCACCAGGTAGTGGGTTTCACTGTGCTATTGACAGTTCCTGCCTCCATATGCATGCAGATACAGCTTATCATCGTCATGAGCACACATGCCCATATATATTTTTGCTCACCTGTAAGCACAAGCATACCAGCATTAAGCCCCTTGAAAACCATTTGACCCTTTCAGTTTAATCTTTCTCCAGCCCTCCCAAATATCCTTCTCCAACTCTGAAAAGTATTCTCATACTTCCCTTCCTTCTAGGGCAACAAAACAGCATTTTGCTGTGAGGACAGCTGGAGCAGCCAAAAATGCCTGTCTGTGAATATATATGTTTTCCCTTTGACATAGGGGGGCTGCAAGGCCTGTCATGCATTACTCTCTCTGGAAACTTGCTGGAGATTCTCACATAGCTCACTCTGGTCTGTCAAAAATATGGACAGTCAGTCCCAATTTCCCAGTCTCACTTCTAGAAGTGGGTCAGGCTTCACTTCTCCATCCCAGAATAGGAGAGTGGGGCGTAGTTAGTAACAAGACATCCAAGAATGGCATATTTTCCCCCTTTTACTCTTTTTCTTCCCTTCTCCTTTATTCCTTTCACCCATTATTCCATCTTGCTCCTATTACTCCTCCTTTTTCTTCTTGTTCTTCTCTCCTCTTATTCTTCCTGTTTCATCAGTAGCATGAAGAGACAGTGTATGGTAGGCACAGGGTATCACAAGAAAGAGGACAATGTACCATTCCTCATGTACCCTGACCTCCAAAATGAAGGTAACTTCAATAGCATAGGTTTTTACTTTCCAACTCTTCCTCTGGTGCACAAAGAGCCTAGAGAAACACTGAGTAGGAGCACTGCACCTAGTGAGATCAGGAGGACAGTGAAGGACTGCATGATGTAGTAAGAAGAGTAACACCAATCTAAGTTTAAGGTCTGCCTTACCATATATCTCTCTGTGTGACCTTGGGTAAATTGCTAAGCCTGACTGAGTTTTAGGTCATTATCAGCAAAATAGAGGTAATAGTAAACCTTCCATGGAGTGTTATTATGATGATAAAATGAGCTCATAAGTGTGAAAGCACCTAGCATAGTGGCTGGCATTCAGTAGGTGTGGGATAAATGCTAGTCCTGTCCCATGCCTCAAGAGAAACTTCACATATTTGTATTGATTCTTCTTATCCTAGAAATCCTCAATACGTCTTACCCACGGTGGACAGATTCATTAGATTGGATCATTGTCTGCTTTAATAATGACCTGAAGGAGAAGTTAATACATGAGAAAGTAAGGAGTTTGTCTTTCCATTCTGCTGGGACCTACCAAGTTATGGGTAGGTAATAGGTCATCCCTGGGTTATAAGGAAACCAGAGAGGACACTTTAGCGACAGGACTGGCTTGGCAGCCAATGTGAAATGTTGGCCAAATTAAACAATACTCCTGACTTTCCTGGAAGATTGGGTAGAGGAAAATCTATTTCAGGAAAGTCCCAACTCTTAGGGGGATGTTCTGCCCATTATGGATCTATGCAGACCACCAAATGGTGAGGTACTTTGTACAACAGGGTTTGAAGTATCAGGCAGGAGAGAATTTGGAGACTTCCAGTATGGCATAGCTCAAAGGGCTTTTAGAAACCACTTAGTCACACTCTCTCACGGTACATGTGGACAAGCTGAGGCCCAGAGAGAGAAAGTTGCTTACTCAAAGTCACACAGAGAGCAGGAGCAAAGCTTGGTCTGGAGGCCTAGAATGAAGTCTTTCAGCTCCTACACTGCCTTTTTACTTTTTTAACTGATTAATCCACCAGCCACAACAGAAACCAGCAACCCCTTATCTGGGCCTATTTGACATGGTTTAATGGGTGTTATCCTAGGGCTAGATAATATCCTCCTGACTTCCTGAAAAGTAATTCCCCCATCTGCCAGCTGCTTCCTGAGAAACCTTTCCCAGAACTTCAGAGCTTAGCTCTCCTCCCTCATGGAAGGATTGAATTTCCTGCAAATATTGCATCCCCTCAGAAGAAAGAAAAGGGCTGAGCATGGACTCAAAGGGCTTTGTTGAAAAAAGTTTTGGCTTGAGAAAGAACGCATATTACTGAGGCCCACTCTGGTCCTGGGACCTGGACTTTGAAAATCAAAGTTCTGTGGTCTGTGTGATGATACTAAATCAAGAAAAGGCCTAGTTTGGGGTATGTGGCCCCTTTTATGAGATCCATTATGGGTCCCATCTTGAATTTTCCTTCTCCCATCATTAAACAAAGATGGTGAGATCTTCCAATGACCCTGCACCTCTGTGTTTGGCCTCTCTCCCCCTCTTGGGATGCTTCCTCAAAAGAGGATTAGCTAAGATAATAGGTATTTATAAAATGTTTATAGTTTTTATAAAATGCAAATATTAGGACTTATTTTTATTGTGATTATTTCAACATATGTCTTAGATCTAGAGGCTTTTTAGAAGTTAAGCCACAGTCTTACAGATCTGTCCAGCTGACAGGATCTTCTAAGGCCAGCCAAGCTGATCTAACTATATAGATGGGTTGGGGATACTGAGATGAAGGGAGACAGAAAGCATTATTGGCCATTGAGTTTGTCCACAGTCTCAGGTCTGTGGTGTAAGACCCTCCATGCAAATGGAAGACCTGCTTCCAGGTCTAAAGGACCCTCACAGGCTGTGGAGGGAACATGCACACACACACATACACAAGTGATTTAAATTTAACATTTACAAAATGTTCCTCTGAGCTCCAGTCCTGCCTCTTTAATTCCCAGCTCAAATCAACAGATTTGGAGAAGGTAGAGTGGTGCACTCTAAAACATGTTAGATAGTGAAAATATTGTAGTTGTAGAAAGAACGGTAATTTTTAGGAACATTAACTCTGCTGCTAATGCTCTGTGCCCTGGAGCAAATTATTTTCCTTCTTGGGTGACTTAACTCAGTGTCTCTTTTCTAACTTTGAGGTTCTAGAATTTAATGGGTCACAGAGCCCCAGGACAAGGTGGTTTAATCTGAGTCAGTTATGGAAAGTTGGGTTCTTTCTAACCACACAAAGCACACCAAGTTAACACTCATCTAGTCTCTCCCTCTAAGGATATGGAATAAACAGGGGTGCATCAAAGAATCTTTTACCCTATCCTGGATTTCACTTAGCTATTATCAGGCTCAGTTTCCTAAAAAGGCTATTTCAATTTTCAGGGGTATAAATGAGGATGGAGTAAGACCCCACAAAATAATGCTACTATGGGATAGTCAATCCTCCTTTGGGGTATGTGTCCAGCATTAAGCCCCCACAAATAGCCCAGACAAACTGGGCTATGTCCACAGGGAAGTGAGATAACCCAGGAAGTGGTAAGAAACCAAGTTCTGTGAAGAACAGTTGAAGGAGCTAAGGCTGTTTAGCTTGGAGAAGAGATGAATCAAAGGGACATGGTTTCTGTCCTCAGGACTCTAAAGAGCTGTCACAGCATAGAGGGAGAAGATATATTATCTGTGTCTCCAAGAAACAGGGCTGGGGTTTTTGGATGGAAGCCACAGGGAATTTGATTTAGTTCAACACAAGGAAGAACTTTCTAACAGTTGAAGCTGCCTTTTTAGATGGTCTGGACAAGTAGTGAATTCTCAGTCACTGCAAGAATGTGAACAAATATTCTGAACACCTGTTCATAACAGTGAAATGTGGATCTAGGTTACTTCTAAGGTCCCATCTAGCTCCTGACAACATTACTTCTTTTGGGGGTTGTATACCTTAACAAGGATCAAAACCTGGTAGCATAGGGGTAAAGGTATAGTGGTAGAATTTAAGATGAAGGGCAACAGATTGGGGAGGGATTTGGGTGGCATTGGGCACATTTTTAATGCCCCTGAGATATGACAGGTACTAGAAAATCATGTGGATGTTTTCCGAGAGAGAATCCTTTCCAATTTCTACCCAAAATTATCTCCTAGCTTCTTCAATAGACTTCAACCTCCTCCCTTCCTTCTGCCAAAAGCTGAGAAAGCCGGGAGCATTGGCTGAGAACACTCACCTAGTCAGCAGGAGTAGGCTTTCCTCAGTAGGCGTTCAATCCCGCCTCTCCCCAACCCCCAGCTTTTTGCCTGTGCCAGCAGTGGCAGCCAGGCCCCCTTTTGCTACCTTACCATAGGTGACCACCAGTAGGTGGCGCAGGAGCAGTAGGCCCAGTAAGAGCTCCATCACAGCCAGAACCACTTCTGTCCTTTCTTCCAGCCTCCTGCTGTCAAAAAGACTTGAACTCCTGATGGCTGCCAGTGTCTGTGCCTGCTCACTTCCTTTTCTTCCCTATATCTCTCGCTCGGACTCCCAGTCCCATCTCAAATTCCCCTTCCTTCCCTATTTCAGCACAAGTCACATGAGCACACCCTTCCCTCCCCTGCCTGGGGTTGGAGGTTTAAGTGTGAGTGAAGCAATTCCTCCCCCTGCTAGACTATTGACTTGACTTTCCCTGGAGCCAATAGGGGTTTCTGGTCTTTGATCTCTCAAGCTGTGTTTACTTGTGTTTCCTCAACAAGATGAGGTTGAGGAATGACTTTTGGGATGAGTCTGCTCCCTTCAGTATGGGAGTGTTTTCCTTTCTGGTGGGCCCAAGTAGAAAAGATCAACTTTGCTGGCCTATGCAATATTCAGCAGTCATAGAGTTAACCCCGTCTGTTCAGCGTATGCAAATAAAGAGTGTTGGAGGTGGGTGCCTATGGGCCTCAGAATACAGAAATTAAGTTCATGAAAGACATTTTTATACACCAATGCTTAAATAATTTGTAAGCCCATGAGTAAGATGGTTATGAGGGAATATACCCCCATATCTCATATAGGGAAAGCTCTTTGAATTACTTTCTCCAATAGCTCTGCCTCTTTGGTGGTAAGGGTACACATTAGTTCCCATTACTGCTCACAAGGAATCTATTATTTATTTATTTTGTGGGAAAGTTAAGTCTAGCATCCAATATACTTGCCAATTGACCTGAGTGGTACGCTCTATTAGGTTGATGTTTTCAGTGGCTTTCAATTGGTACATACCCCTGATCTGTGAGAGAGTGATATTAAGCCTTATGGGAAGCTTAATTACTTCTTTTCACAGGCCCAAGAGTGACTGTAAGTCCACCAGAAGTCTACCTCCAAGTTTGGCACTGACAACAATCCACTAATATTTGAAAATATAAACACTTCCAAAAGAAAAATACATCCAACAAATTCATACTGAAGTGTGGGTAACATCTGAATTTAGCTTTCTTTTTGATTAGAGGGATAGAGAGAACTTGGTTGGGGAGGCATGAGCTTTAAAGAGAGGGGGAGTGGGACTCCAAAGAGAGACATTATCTCCTCCACATGCTTGTCAAAGCATGTTTACATACAGATGATTTGGAGCTGTTCAAGGGCTAAGAGGAGACTTCAGATTTTCAGGCCCTGCCATTATCACAAGGAATTCTGTCAAGCCCCTCTGCCTCCCAGTTTCAATCCCACTTGTCTGGTTGTCCCTTGATTTTTGGTTACTTCATTCAGTCTACCTCACTGGAACTTCTAGTCATTCATTCCCATAGGGTCCTCACTCAGGGAACTCTGAACTTTGGAGAACTCTCCTATTGTATTTTCCAACCAACACCCTACCACACTACCACCATTCACATACAAACACACACTCACACACACACACACACACACACACACTCCTCTTCACCTATACAGTCTTTCCTGATGAAGAGCTGGAAGCCCATGCCCTCTTGGACTGGTGTCAATTTCTGTCTGGCCTGGTGATTGTATTTTTTAACTGCCTATTGCCTCTTGTTAGGATCTCCTAGATCTGAAGATAAAGAAATATCCTCGAGAGCATGCACAGCATTTCTCTGGGGAAGACTTCCAGTCCTGCAGTGGGCTCAGTAACTGTTGAGCAAGAACATTGAAGGTGAAATTAGGAAGCCCAGAGACAGGCCGGGCTCTGCATCTATTTCATTCTGAGACTTTAGACAAGTTAAATCTCTCTGCGCCTCAGCTTCCCCAATTGTAACATGAGCACTGTTAGCCTTGATATTTGTATCTTTCTTGATCTTTAAAAATCAAACTATAATATACATACAATAACAAGTATAACAATGACAGCTACTATTTCTTAATCATTTGCTCTTCCAGGCACTGTACTAAGCACTTAGTGCAGATTATTTCATTTGGCATTTACAGTCACTCAGGTAGGTATTGATATTATTGTATTATTGTACTTACTCTTGTGTCTCTTTTATCACTCTATTCCCTCTTATGCTGTTATTCTTTTTCTTTGTAGAAATCACTTGGCATGTTGCATTTTTATTGGTTTATTTGTTTGTTGTCTGTCTTCCACTCTAGAATGTAAACACTATGAAGTCATGTTCACTGCTATATACCCAGTGCCTAGAACAGCGACTAACATATAATAGATACTCAGTAAATATTTTTTGATGAAGGAATTGAATAAATCACCATTTTACAAATGAGACTGAGGCCCAGAATAGTGAAATCACTTACCTGTATAGAGCTACCTAGACAAGATCCAAATTGTTAAGCACAGTGTGAATGTACACCTTGGGTTTGGCTGAGCTGGAAGGAAGCAGTGGTGCAAAAAGGAAATCCACACAAATCCTGCTCAAGAACATGCATACACACAAACCCATAAACCCACAAATATCATATATAAACATAGATACATATGGACACATAGTTATACATATGTGTATATAATGACCATAGGCATACAATATTAGCACATTGACACACAATACATGAAATGTACATGCAGAGATACACAGACACACAAAACAGTCATACAGACATGCAAATATACACAGACATGCACATGGACACAAAAACAAGGATTGAAACACAGATCCATTTATCCAAGCAGAACACAAGCAGACAGTACATGCATATAAGCATGTAAACACACAGATACACACATACAAACATTAACCCAAGGAAACATTTAAAAAGAGAGAGATGTATTTAAAAGTAAACTACCAATAACAGGCCTCACATACTAAGAGATAAGGGAATGACAGAAACTTATTTGTACAATGGGAATACAGAGGTGGTAACAAATCCCATGAACTTCATTGGTCTAAGAAAACTTCTGAGAGGAGCTGGAATGTGGGCTGGGACCTGAGATTTGGTTAACACTGTCTAGGCAAAGAGAATGGGGAAGGAATTCCAGATAAGATGGGTAATGAACAAATGCATATTATTTACCTTTAACATTCCTGACACTGTTCTAGGTACTGGGGATATAGTACTGAACTAAACAGACATGGAGCTTATTTTTCTAGTGGAAAGTATCTATTAAACAAACAACCAAACAAATAAATATGGAAATGAAACGTTATATATGATATGGCTCAGCCACGAAGTCTCAGCATCATAAACACTGAATCTTACTCTTACCAATAAAATTATATTTGAATGCATTGAGATAATGGGAAGACAGGAAATATGCATGAGTTTATGTGTGCAGGACTGGAGTGAATGGATACAGGGGAACAAATGAGAGCTAGATTCTCATCTTCTATATAAGATAGAAGAAGGAGTAGCAATATAAGCATGTTATTTAGAGTTATGGAGTCAAAGCTCCCCCAAATCAGTTAAAAGCGTTGATAATATTTGTCTCTGAGGACGGAAAAATGTTTTAACAAGCATCATAGAACTATTTGATTGTTTTGATTACATGCATGTTTAACTAAAACATACGTGTGTTGTATATACTGCATCAGGCGGTGATGAGTACCATGAAGTTAAAATGAAGCAGTGCTGTGGGACAGTGAGTATGGTAGGAAGAATACTGGACCCTGAAAAATGTCTATATGCTAATTCCAAAATTTTGTAAATATGTTAATTTACATGGCAAAGGAGGATTAAATTTGCAGATGGAATTAAGGTTGCTAGTTAACTGACTTTAACAGAGAGAATATTTTGGATTATCCAGGTGATGTCAGTGTAATCACAAGGGTCCTTAAAAGTGGAAGAGAGGGAGGCAGAAGAGTCAGAGTTATAGGAAAATGTTACTATGAAAAAAAGGTGCAGATAGGTGCAACATTGCTGGCTTTGAAGATGGAGGAGGAGAGCCATAAGCCAATGAATGTGGGTGGCCTCTAGAAGCTAAGAAGGACAAAGAAATGGATTATTCCCTTTCAAAGCCTTCAAAAAGGAATGCAGCTCTGCTCACATCTTGATTTTAGTTCAGGAATATCCCTGGCAGACTTCTGACCACTAGAACTGTGAGGTAGTAAATTTGTGGTGTTTTAAGCTACTAAAATCATGATAATTTGTTATGGCAATGATAGAAAATTAAACAGAGAGTAATAAGGTGGCATGTACTCTTGGAGGAAGTAACATTTGAATAGAGGCTTGAATGAAGTTAAACAGCAGGTTTGGCCAATATCTGGGAAAGATAATTCCAGGAAAGGAGGACTGCAAGTGGAAAGATCCTGAGGAGGGAGTATGCCTGGCATTTTCAAGTATGTGTGGTTGGAGTACAGTGAGTGAAGGGGAGAATTGTTAGAGGATGTAATGGGAAAGGGGACGGTTGAGGGGGAGTATATCATGCAGGGTTTTGAGGGTCATTTAAAGAATTTTAGCTTTTACTCTGAGATAAGGAATGATTGGTTGTATCTGAACATGGGAATGATGTGATCTGGATTGTGTTTTAAAATCATTTCCATGACTTCTCTATGGTAGACACTAGAGGGGCAAGGGTAGAAGCAGGGAGACCAATCTGGATGCTTTTGCCACAAATGAGTAAATGTACAATGGTGGCACTTTAATCAGAGTAGAAACAGTAGATGCCAGAGACTGAGGAAAGAAGAGTGGCTAGGACTTGACAATGTGTCAGAGTGAATCATGGCTAAGTGTAAGGTGCAGATATTGTTCATGTGGTAGATCTGGATGGCGTGGGCAACAACAAGGCCACAAGTAAAACTCAACGAATTCTGGACGGGAAGTGGTGGTTTTTATGAGAAAACAGTTTGGAACCAGCTTTATGGGAATAGAAGTGATGGGACTTCTGCACTGAGATGTCCTCGTAGGGAGAATATGAGAGGACTGGAAGTCATAAGAGAGGTCATGGCTAGAGGGAGAACTTTGAAAATCATTTAGAAAGAGATGGTGGTGAAGACATGGGAGTTTGCCAAACCGCTGAGGAGAGTAGAGAAAAGGAGCAGAGAGTCAAGGATGGAGAACCAAGAGTTCCTAGAGGACACCCAGCTCCCTCCTTTACCACTAATTCCAGACCCATACTTAGAATCATTAAAGGTCAGAGCCTAGAGAACCTTTGAGGTCACCATGGATCTTACATTGTCTCAATTGTA